GGGGGGGCGGCTCCCTGGCACTGCATGCACCCCTAGGGGAGGCATGGGGGTCCATGTGCCCTTCCTGGGCTTGCACGCAGGATGGAAGTGGGCTGCCTGCTAGAGATTCAGGGCCAGGGGTGGTGCCAGCCACTTCTCAGTGTGGGGACTGGGCCAGGGCTGGGCTCGGAGTGGGGCAGGCTCAGCTATGCATGGTGGGTAGCAGCAGCAGTGCTGGGAGCGGAGGCCATGGGGGGTGCTAAAGTGAATATCGGGATGGCCACAGCTCCCCCAAGCACCCCGCCTGCTTGGGGCACTTCACTCTGCTGCCTTTCTCTCGGGAGATGCAGGGAGGACAGGGACAGGTAGGAGATGTGCAGCCAGTGAGGGGCTCCTGAAGGAAGGCAACAGGGCAGAGTACCCCAAACAGGGGAAGCACTAGGGAGGGTGGGGGGACTACAGCCACCCCAAAATTTACCTTAGCCCCCCCTTAGCCACTCCACCCAGCACCACTGCCGCTGCCCACCCCATGCAGCTGAGCCTGCCCCAATCCTACCTGCTCTGAGACCAAACCCCCCACCAGGAAGAGGCTGGTGCCACCCCTAGCCACAAGCGTGTAGCAAGCAGCCCACCTCTACCCCACATACAAATATGGGGGGGGACACAGGCCCCCCCCATGCCTCCTCGGGGGGGGGTGCAGTGACAGGGAGCCATCCTCTCCTTCCTATCCCCACCACAACCCCTGGACGAGCCATCTGTGGCTCCAAACAGCTACCCACTTTGGCCCCAGGGTCCCATTCACTGCCCTCATTGGGCAGAGCCCCCAGTCCCTGCCCCACTCCCTTCCTCACCATGGGGGCCTCGATCTGCCCCCCGATGCCCCTTCCCTTCCCCTCCATAGACTTACATGCAGGGCACTGCTCTCCATGCTGTCCAGCTGCAGTCCTGTAAATCAGTTATCAGATTGGAATAGGCCAAGAAAATCTTTATCAGTACACCCCTGTAAGTAACCTAAATATTCAAATAGCTCCAGTGCCTCAACTGGGAATAATCACTTTGTCACTTTGTCACGCTGTAATTAATATTTAAACAGCCGATTAGCTCAGTTACTTAGAGTATGGTACTAATAACACCAAGGTTGCAGATTTGAGTCCCCCCTGTGGGACACAAGACCATTCTGGCCTCAAGCAGGAGGTTGAACTAGAATCACTAGATGACTGCATGGGTATCTCCGCACTTTGACAGGTGCCCCACCCCCTGGTCACCACCTTGGGACCAGAAGTAGAACCCCCTAACCCCTGACCTGTGCCATCAGAAGTCCCTCCCCTTCCCCTCTGGAATTACTCCTTTCAGCAAAAAATATCAAATTATATTCTAAAAAAATTAAAATGTACTACAACATCCATTAATTTCATTTCAAAAAATATTTTGTCCTGATTTACATGTGTTTGTGTAGTGTACATAGAAGTTATTGTATAATGGCTTAAAATGAAATCTTACTCTTATATAGCGTGGGTAGGAGGGTGGGTATAGAGTGGTGGGGTGGATAGGTGTGGGTGTGCAGGCTGTGCGTAGATATGGGTTTTGTGCAGGGCTGGGAGTGTGTGGGGGAGGGTGGCTGGGGAGGCTTGTGGCTTGCAGAGGGGGAGGGTTTGCCCACAGTCTGCCCCCACCGCCCCCACGACAAGCAGAGACTCCGCCAGTGCTTCTGCAAGCCTGGGCTCTGCGTTCCTGATGCTCCTGGCCCCAGGGCAGTGGCACGGGCCCCATGCTGTTTGATGGTCCCACACCTGCTGCTGTTCCTGGCCGCCACTGGCACCTCGGCCCGCTGTGGGGACGGCGCTGAGCACAAGTGGCCACAGGGCAAGTGGCGCTTGGGCTCGCAGCCCAAGTGGCCATGGTGGAGGAGAAGGATGAGGCGGGCTCAGCTGCTGCCTCCTCCTCCTTGATGCTGCACTTGCGGCAGTGCTCGCGGTGCCACTTGAGGGAGCAGCTGCTGCCACCACAGTGCTCCTACCGCGCCCAGCCTCCCCAAGTATCTGCTGCCGCCGGCCCCACACCCACTCCTGCAGCTGCCTCAGCCTGCTGCAGGGATGGCACCAAGTGCAAGCAGCCATGGGGCAAGTGGTGCTCCAGGTCTTGGCAGCAGAAGCAGTCCACAGCAGCTGCCTGCTGCCACAGCAGCAGCTGCACACAGCGGGAACACCACAGCAACAGCAGTCACTCCTGCGAGCAGCACTGTGAGTGTAGCGACAAGGAGATGGAGGCAGCTGAGCCCGCTTCATCATCCTCCTCCACCACCGCAGCCACCACAACCACAGTGGTGGCTCCAAGGTGTGCTGCAAGGGCCACCCCGCCTCTCTGCTGTGGCAGCAGGCAGCTACCGCCGGGCAACGAGACCTGGCTGCCCCTGCCATGTCCCTGCTGTGAGCCCGAGCACTGTGGCCACTTGCACTTGGTGCCATCCCCGCAGCAGGCCAAGGGATCCTCCTGGGCACAGAAGGAGCACCACAGCAGCAGTGGCTGCTCCCATGAGCAGCACAACAAGCACAGCTACAAGAAGGTGGTGATGGTGGTTGAGCCTCATCCTCCTCCACTCCCAAGCCCTGAGGCCTCCACAACCATGCCAGTGGCCCCAAGGGTCATTGCAAAGGCCGCTCCGCCTCGTGTAGCAGGAAGAAGCGGGAGGCCAAGGCAGACCACAACTGGCCCAAAGCCACCTAGTTGTCAGCCAGGTCCCCTCTCTCCCTGCTGGCAGGCCAGCCCTGATCCACAGATCCCCGCCAGCTCCTGCTGCCTTACTCTGGGCCCCACCAGTGCTGGCCCCGTCACAGGCCCTGCACTCCACTCCCTGCTCCCTACTCCCCGCTGCCGCTTTCCCCAATTTCCTGCCCACCCGCCAGCCACTCTGCACCACATGGCTCCCAGCTGCATGGCCAGACTCTGGGGGCTCAGCAGGAGCCGGCTGGGCCTCAAGGACTAGGGCAATCCCCACGGTTCTCCCTTGCCTCAGTTGGTAGGGTCGGAAAGGACCTAAGCAGATCATCAAGTCTGACCCCCTGACATGGGCAGGAAAGAATGCTGGGGTCAAACGCCCTCAGCAAAGTGATTATCTAGCCTCTTTCTGAAGACCCCCAGGGTAGGAGCGACCAACACTTCCCTTGAAAGTTGGTTCCAGATCCTAGCCGCCCTGACTGTGAAGTAGTGCCTCCTGATATCTAGCCTGAATCTACTCTCAGTCACCTTACGGCCGTTATTCCTTGTTACTCCCGGGAGTGCTCAGGGGGAACAGGGCCTCTCCCCCAGCCTGCTGGTCCCCCTTGGCCAGTTTGTAGACAGCCACCAGATCCCCTCTCAGCCTTCTCTTGCGGAGGCTGAACAGGTTCAGGTCCCGTAGCCTCCGCTCGTAGGGCCCGTCTTGCTGCCCCCGATCATGCGAGTGGCCGTCCTCTGGACCCTCTCAATGCTAGCCACATCCCTCCTGAAGTGCGGCGCCCAGAACTGGACACAGTACTCCAACTGCAGCCTGACCAGTGTCACAGAGGGGGAGGATCACTTCCTTGGACCTGCTCGTGATGCATCTGTGGATGCATGAAAAGGTGCGGTTAGCCTTCCTGAGGGTCTCCCCACATTGGTGGCCCATGTTCATTTTGGAATCAATAATGACTCCAAGATCCTTTTCTGCCTCTGTGCTGATGAGAAGGGAGTTCCCCAGCCTGTAGGTCTGCTG